CGGTGGGGTAAATCGAGTGTTCACAGATCGAGCTCGGTCATTTGCTCATCACGCTCACAGATCGAGCTTGGTCATTTGCACATCACGCTCACAGATTGAGCTTGGTCATTTGCACATCACGCTCACAGATCGAGCGTGGTGATTTGCTCATCACGCTCACAGAACGAGCTTGGTGATTTGCTCATCACGCTCACAGATCGAGCTTGGTGACTTGCTCATCACGTTCACAGATTGAGCTTGGTCATTTGCTCATCGCGCTCTCAGATCGAGCTTGGTCATTTGCTCATTTCGCTCACGACCCAAGACGTAGGAGCCATTCTCCTTAAAAGTGTGGTTGCTCGCACTGCTTTCGCACTACTCATCGTGTCTGAAGCAAACGGCATGCCGAAAAGGATATCCGTTAGGATATCCTTTTGGTTTTTTTAAAGTTAAAAAAGTTACGCGATTGGATTTCAATGCAACCAAAAGTCTGGGTTATTTCTTCCTTTGAATTGTTTTTTTTTTCGCGTCAGACTTTGAGGCGTGAAAAAGTGGCATGGGGACAGGGGACCAGCAAAATGGTTTTGAGAAAAACCATCCTGAATCATTTAACATCATTTTGCGGCATGGTTCACGCCTTTCGCTCCCAAGCTAGATCCAATCATCCTGCTATATTTTTCCTACTTTTACTACATACAACTTACTAGGAGCCATCCAAGACGCTATACGGCGTGGCTGACACAATGCGGCGTGACTGTACTTTCAAACGCCTTGCAAGTGGCAACCATCATAAATCCTCCAGTTCCCCCACGCAGTTGACGGCACAGCTCACGGCATTACCAATTATGAACGCCAAACACTGCCGTCCCGCACGCGCGTCAACCTCGTCGGGTAATGCATTGCTTAGAAACGATCACATCCGAAAACAAGTCTACATCGCCTTTTGGTACCTCGGAATTTGCCAGACCGCGATGTTTCTGTTTCGAAACAACCATAAGCCGCAATTTGTTGTCACGTGCGAAATATGAGGTCACGTTTGGCGGCGCGGGCTTGCCACAGTGCGATGTGACCGTCTTCAGGATTTGAGCCGAGAACATGTGAAAATTAACATGAAGAGAGTGCTTTGCCTGTGATGATGATCAAAAAAGGGCCCAAAACGTGATTAGTTAGCGGGCCTTTTTTCTTCTAAGCATCTCGATTTGGAAAAAAGCAGGTGGAGTATTTCCCTTTAAGCTGAGAAGTTAAAGCGCGAGGGCCAGAGCAAAGTAATAAATGTGAATATTTCTCCGTGGACTACAAATACGGCTGTCTCAACTAAAAATCAGTAATAACAAAGGAACATTTCTTCACCCCTGGGCATTTGTCCCGTATTTGCTGACCAGCCGGGGGCGCAGCCAAAAGAGGGAGCCGAGGGCCCGGACCCTGAAGTCAGGCCTGGACTTTTCGTATATCACCGTGGGTGGGTCCTGACAAAAAGTAAAAGCCGGCGTAGTACGTACGTTCTCACCGAGCTCTGGGGCTCTTCGTGAAGAAAATCCTGCATGCGCTTCTATTTCCAACGCAACGGATTGCTGACTCCATTTGAGTACATCCGTTGGCGATAAAGGACATTTAGATGACAGGCCTATTTCCTTTTCTGACCTTTCTCTGCTTCTCGTGGGTGAAAATTGCCTGTCAATATTTCAGCGATAAACATGTGTTTATTTTTCCATCCGTGGCATGCAGAAAAACGCACACCGTGCTAAGGAGGCCAGATTCCTCAGTCCTCTCTCTGGGGAAGGGGATAAGATATTTCGAATCCCATACAATCCCCAGAAAAACTACAACTCGATTCCTGCCCATTTACTTCCAGTAGCAACAGCTGCCGTAAAAAATCCAGACCGGCCGCGTGCTACCAGTCTGCCTTATGGAAGGTTCTAACAGGTCTGAGGCATTTTTCTGATGTCCAATTGCATGCTAGATTTTGTGAGTTTTGTAGTAATTCAGTTGTTTTGTTGCATGCAGTTTTCCATGGCGCTGGCAAAAGAGGTGCAGCTTTACGAAATGATTGAGACATGTTAGTATTATGGGTGAAATAATTGTTCGAACTTTCGTCCTCGCGTTGTGTTTTGTTAGGAGAATGGGAAAGGGGAATGCATAGTTAGTGGAAAAGATGTGGCCGTTATTCGAGATGTTACCTGTCAAATGCCATAAAGCCAAAATCGCATGATCGCCTGTTGTGCCCTGGACCTGCTCGTGACGTTCTGACGTCATCCAGAGCTCACCATGCATAATCTGACGTCATCCAGGGCTCACCATGCATAATCTGACGTCATCCAGGGCTCACCATGCATAATCTGACGTTATCCAGAGCTCACCACGCACAGCCTGACGTCATCCAGGACTCACCATGCATAACCTGACGTCATCCAGGGCTCACCACGCACAACCTGACATCATCCAGGGCTCATTATGCACAACCTGAAGACATCACCTTGAAGCAATTATTAGTATAATAATTAATATCCGTTACAAGTAGTAAGCGCCAATCTCCCCTCCAGTGCAGGCGTAGAAAGAAATGTACAAAACCTCTCAAAAATGACACGCTAAGCCCTTGTTGCCCTCCCGAACACCCTGATGACGTCTGCGATCGGTCGATAGCGGAGAGGCCTTACTTGTGATGCACTGTAATTGCAGACTGACAGCTCGTTGGCCTCAACCAATGAGTCAGTGATGTTTCATGTGTACTTTCAGTTAATACCGGCGACGGCTTATCATGCTTCTCCACAAACTTCATCTGATGGGACTGTACAGTCGGCAGCTTATGCATCTAATCGTTTTCCGTTCCATGTTCTTCTGGGGGGATGCGGAGGAACCAGAACTTCTCGTTTTTTTTCTTCAAAAAGTGACATTAGCTGGCATCATAGTCAAAGCTCTGTACATATTTAGAGGCTGTGCGGAGGTCGGTTTGTTGCGCCCGCTTGCCCACGCTTTTCACGATCGAAAATGTCAAACAAAATCCATCAAAATGCTCACAAAAATGCTAAAGCTCGCAGAGCGTTTCCTTCAAAATTTTCTCTTTCACCAGAGGGTTTTTTTTTACCAAAGGAAGGATTAAGCGCCGCCCCTGATTGCCGTGGTGAGAGCGTGTGGGACAGTATCCAAACACTTTCTGACAAAACTCGCCTAACTGAAAATGCCGTTATTGCTCCGCCACTGACGGGCGCGGGCATGCGGCGGCTTCTTCGGGAATCGAGTGGACACGTTGTGAGCAGATGTGATACGTCCGGGCGAGGAGGGCGATCCTGAGCAAGAGCGCGCGTGCTCGCCACTGGAACTTAGCAAACCAGATTAAGATGCTTATCGGCTTCAATGAATGCATTACGAAATGTCGATGACATAACTGATCCTCCCCCCCCCCCCCCCACTCACTCCCCGTCGAGTCTCACACGGTCTCACGAGTCCCGCCTGCTCTGTCTCTCACCTGGCTCATCTCCGCCTGGGCGGAGGAGTGCCAGTGACGAGTGTCTGTTGTGAGCCACTCTGGACGGAGGAGTGCCAGTGACGAGTGTCTGTTGTGAGCCGCTCTGGACGGAGGAGTGCCAGTGACGAGGGCCTGTTGTGAGCCACTCTGGGCGGAGGAGTGCCAGTGACGAGTGTCTGTTGTGAGCCACTCTGGACGGAGGAGTGCCAGTGACGAGTGTCTGTTGTGAGCCACTCTGGACGGAGGAGTGCCAGTGACGAGGGCCTGTTGTGAGCCGCTCTGGACGGAGGAGTGCCAGTGACGAGGGCCTGTTATGAACCGCTCTGGACGGAGGAGTGCCAGTGACGAGGGCCTGTTGTGAGCCGCTCTGGACGGAGGAGTGCCAGAGACGAGGGCCTGTTGTGAGCCGCTCTGGACGGAGGAGTGCCAGTGACGAGTGTCTGTTGTGAGCCGCTCTGGGCGGAGGAGTGCCAGTGACGAGGGCATGCTGTGAGCCGCTCTGGGCGGAGTGCCAGTGACGCGGGCCTGTTGTGAGCCGCTTTGGGCGGAGGAGTGCCAGTGACGAGTGTCTGTTGTGAACCGCTCTGGGCGGAGGAGTGCCAGTGGCGAGGGCCTGTTGTGAGCCGCTCTGGACGGAGGAGTGTCAGTGACGAGGGTTTGTTGTGAGCCGCTCTGGACGGAGGAGTGCCAGTGACGAGGGCCTGTTGTGAGCCGCTCTGGACGGAGGAGTGCCAGTGACGAGGGCCTGTTGTGAGCCGCTCTGGACGGAGGAGTGCCAGAGACGAGGGCCTGTTGTGAGCCGCTCTGGACGCAGCAGGCAGCCGGACCCTCTGAGACAGAACACACGCGCCGGGCCGGACCGTCCTGCAATGGTTGTTGATTTGCAGTGCTTTGAAACATTGTGCAATACTCGAAAAGTTTCTCAGCCCTGATGAATGACTGCATGATTTTGGAGGTTACTTATGTTGAGCAAATGAATGAGCATTAGTACCGAGCACGCTATTGAGTATTGGCTCAAGAGATCATTTGCAATGCAATCAGCTTTAAAAACGTGACGGTGAGGCTCAAGCAGCAATATGCATCCATTGTAAACAAGTGGAAATCGACGAGCAGTTTTGACGTGCTGATGCTGTAATATGGATTGGCCACGTTAGGCGTGTTTTACGGCGCATGTCCCTTGAGGCACGCTACCTCATGCAAACCGAGCGTCACTGCGAGCCCTCATGTTAGCGCAAGTCTTGATCAGTGCAGCATGGTGGGCAGGCGGGCAGCGGCGGCTTGGTACCGGCGCCAGTCGGGCAGGGGGCGGGTTTTTGCTGTCGCTCGCCGATGCAATCCGGCCGGTAAGCCTCGCGCCGCCCGTTATCACGCGTCCGTAACGACCGGGGCCCGGCTGCCAGCTCGGGTCGGGTCTCGAGTCGCCGCTCGGTGTGGGCGGGGCAGAGCGGGCGACCCGCACCCGCCATGAGTCCGTATGAAGTTTTTTTCTGCCAAGTGTCTGTCCAGCGTTGAATAATTTCACACCGCCCTGGCTGATTACAATCCCTCCCCGTTCCAGCGTGCCGGCGGTCTGCCGAGCCGACCACCAGTCCGCCGGCCAGCCCGCACGCCCCGCCCCCGGCGGGCGGCGGCCAATCAGCCCCCGAGTCGGCCGGCGCGGGGCGGAGCCTGCCCGCCGACGCGACGGCGGCCGCCGCCGCGCCGGCCGCCGCAGTGCAAGCCGAGAAAGCCGGTGGGGCGGCGCAGGGAGGCGCCGAAAGCGACACCGAAACTCGCCGTGACCTCGTGCAACTGGCGCCCGCTGACCGGCGCCCGTGGACGGAGGCTGCGATCGCCTGCCGCGCGCGAAATTTTCCTGGCGGTGAGGTTCGGTCGCTCGCGCGCGACGACGCGCTGAAGAGGGCGCGGCCGACGCCGCTGTTTCGCCCGTACAGTGATAACCTGGTGCGCGCGCGGGGCCCGGTGAGCGGTGACGAGCGCGAACGCGAACGCGCAAACGAGAACAGTGTTGCGCTCTGTCTGCGAGTGCGACCAGACTCGCCGCCGCCGACAGCAGAGGAAGGTAAGCGCACCGCCCTGCCCCTCCCCCACTTCCCCCCCCCCCCCCGTCGCCTCAGCTGGGCGTCCTGGAGCGCTATCGCACGAGGAAAGCCGGCTTGGAAGGCCCGGCCCTGACACCTCGTCTGCTGTGTGTGGTCGTGCTGCTGTGATGCAGGCAGAAAACAAGCCCACCACGCTGCTGGTGCAGAGCATTCGAAACGTTTTTTTTTAAAAAGTTATTGCGAGGTGACTGGTACAAGCAGGTGCAGGAAAAGTTGTAGGCATTGTGGTGCAACTAGAAAAAATAGGAAAGCCTCAGAGCCGTCATTCTCAAAACTAGTGCAGCCTGAGGTTGGTCCAGATCAGTGCAATTACCTCAATCTTTTTATTAGGCGAAACCCAATTGCTGAACGACTGCAGCTTTCGAAGCTGGTCCTATTGACAGCAGGCTTGGGCCGGGGCATGAGGTGGCACTCCTCCAGCTGAATATACAACTGCACTCCCGAAACACGTAATAGGACACGGCGAAGGATCAGCTCATTGGAGGCGCCTAACTAATTTTAAGGTCGATTCTTTTCTGTCGTCACCCTAGGGGTAATGTTCAGAATTCTTTGAAAATGGGGGAAGAGGGCAGGGCCCATATGCCCCCTCGTCGTTTGTACGCCTGCAAAATATGACGCAATTGCACTGCTATGGGCTATAAAATGACACTGCTATACCATGCGCCGCAAAAAGCTGTATTAGTTTGATGACAACGTTCACAAGCTGTCTCCATCACCATCGAAAACGCTGTGGGAACCTCAAACAATTTCGAGACGCATCACGTGTTCATGCGTGGGCTCACCCCCCGTGCCGGCCGCCGCCGCCGCCGCCGTCGGCGTTATCGCCGGGTCATTGACACCGGCTGTGCGTCTCCCCGCCGCGCGCCGGCGGCGGCCGCCACTAGCACGCGCCGCCGCCGCCGCCGCCGCCGCCGCCGCGCCCGACCTACCACCGGCGGCGGCGGCGGCGGCGGCCGGCGAGAACAAAGCGACGCGCGGCGGGCCTCAGGAGCGGGCGGCGGGCGGCGGGGAGCGGGCTGCCGGGGCCGGGCGCCACCCACCTCCTGCGGGGTGGCGGCGGCCCGGTGGGCCGCCGGCGCACCCCGCCGCCAGTCAAGTGGTCGAAGTTGACGAGTTTCGTCCCCGCTCTTAACGCAAATGCGACTTGCCTCGTGAGCATGCACAGCACTGGGGTCGGAAGGGTCCGAACACCAGCAGTGTTTGGCAGCATTGTTGTGCTTCGGCCACATGAAATGTCACCAAAATAGACGTGGACCGCGGTAGTATGTAAGGCGTGAATACGTCCATGATTTGCTCGTCAGTGCCCGCAGTTGCCCAAGGACTCCGGCCGCTAGGGCCTGTTGGGATGGCCCGTGAGGATTCTTTTTTGGGGTCGAGGGGGGGGGGAGGGGGCTCTAGGCTTGTGGAAATGCATGGGAAAATCGGCAGAGAAATCCGAGAGCACCGGGTGCCGCTGATCATTACGAAAGATGGCTCTGGTGTTTGTTTCACCATGTTGTGAGGGACGTAGGACGGACGACATGGAGGGGGGGGGGAGGGGGGACAGCCGCGAGACAGCCGCCATCATGGTGTAGCTTTCAGATTAGACGTGCATGAAAGGCAGTTGGGTAGAAACACTCCATGATCCCTTTTATTTTTCACTGAATTGAGCCGCCAACTTGTGTGAGATTCGTTTCTGGCCTGGCATATGGACAGGAAAACTTTCGTCATAGTGGGCTCGTTTTTTTCGATCAGTCTCCAGAGCTGACAGTTCACACCTGCACCAGATGAAGCTCTCGTGAGTGCACGTGCGTGGGACTGTCGCTTGCGGGCGGCATGGCGCATGGCCTGCATGCTGCTCTTATCTGAGAGATCCTGCACATCTCAGCGGCGCTTAGGGACGCGAAGAGAATGACATGTTTGTGAGACCAACTTGTTTGGATGCTGTGACGAGCCAGCGTTTCGTTGCCTCCCGGGACCGTGTTCGTGCGAGCGCGTGTTGAGCAGCATGCGTTCTCGGCCTTCCACGTCCGACGTGCGTTCCATTCCCGTGTGCGCACGCCGAAGGGGCTGTGGAGCTCACGTGACCCCATGCGGGACTCGCGCCGGGAACGGCCGCCACCTGACCGACTGTGCCACTCGTGACCTGATGACGGGCGTCTGGCTCTGTAACAGCGCATACCCATCTAAGTTTCACAGCATCCTGGGCACTAATTTTCGTCTCACTAGCGTATGTTCAAGGATTGAAGCAGTTACCGAAGCCTTAAAAGTCTGTCAGGTTTTGCTGCGATCGGAGGCGTGCTTGACCGAGGCAAATTCACGACAGTGTCCGTTTTTGGCTTCTGGAGCCCGCCGCGTCTTTCGAAGAGCTGCCCTGCTCTTGCGCAGCGAGCCTCTCCGACCGCGCCCAGCACCTCGGCATAGACCTGAGCTCTATTTGATCTAACTGCCGATCTGGGTCGCCCGGTCGGCGCCTCGAGAAGTTGAACAATACCCAATTAGGGTGCGCGATTGCCGGTTTTTACGGCAGCGCGGTACGGCGCCGGCCGGTCGCCAGCCCGTGGCGGCGCAGTCCGACCCGCTGCGCCCTCCTGCACTGCCACCGCGTCCTCTGCTGTACGGGAGCGCGAGAGGAGGCGCACGCGGCTCCTGCCATGTCATGTGACGCCGCAGGATGTTAATGTGAAGTTTTGCCGACGGTCGGAGATGGCCTCTAGTTCGCCGCACCAGATTTTCTGTCCCAACTCTCAGCCCGTGTAGTTCTGCGTGCGCCGTGGCGCGCGGCCACCAGCGGCAGGGTGAACGTGTTTGGACGCTTGATCTAGCTGAAGCTCTGCTGGGCCGCCGTAGCTGTCCGGACAATGGAGCCCTGCTCTGGAGTGCCGGAAGAGCGCCAGGGAGGATGGGTGAAGCGCACTGTACACTGCATTCACATGTGGCGAACGAAGTTTTGTGGCCGGTCAACACCTGTGAAGATGGTGCGGTGGCTGACCCGTTCTTACCCCAGCCTGTGCGGTCCGCCGTCAGGGAGCCTACGGGCCTGGGACGGACCAATCCAGGGCCTAGCTGCTTGGTCGGTGATATACATTGGTAAAGGAATCACTGGTGATGATTGATTGTTGTCTCACCAATGCCAATGTCCACCTAGCTTGACCTAGCCTGACCTAGCCTGACCTGTCATGATGCTGATCGCAATCCTCGCAGTGGCGTGGCGTTGAGGTTTGGCTCCGGAATTTCGAAGCAGGGAATTCAAAGTCCTTGTCCTTCCAGACCGAGCATCACGTAGACTTTCGTCCTTACAGAAGCCAGTCACCTGATCAGGCGACTGTCAGAGCTGTGCTCCAGGGCCGGCCCAAGGAACAGATGCTGGAGAATATTGCATCATATTCTGGAAGCGATTCATGATCCAAAGACACGTTTAGTGAGAGATCTGCGATGGGAAAATTCCGCTATCCTTGGACAATGGAAGCGTCCCTCCCGCGCTTCCCCTTTCCGGCACCCTGTGTGACCTCGATCGGACTGGCGATGCGAGCGATGACCTGCTCCAAGCCCCCCTCCCCTCCCCCACAGCGGCCCCCGCGCCGGCCGGCTCAAACGCGTCACAGTGAAGGTGTGTCTCCCAGCGGGTCGTGACCCGTGGTCGACCTGTGCACGGACATCTGGGTTGCAGTGACATTTGCAGGGGCCTGGTGCGCCAGAGCTGCGACATTGCTGCGGTATAGTTAAGCCACTTACGGCATTCGAAGAGGGCGGCAAAGAGGCATAATGGCTAAGTGGTTAGTAGCACCTTGTGTTCCCACGTGGGGGTGGGGTGGGTGGGGGGGGGGGGGGGGGCTCAAATACTGGTTGTGCCGTGGCCCCTGAGCGCTAATCTAGTCGCTGCAGCTCCACGACCAGTCGACGCGCCCTAAAACTCCACGGCCATTGGCAGTCGCCGGCGTTTCATGCAAGGCGTCTGACGATGGGCGCCGTGTTCCCTTAAAAACGAAAGCAGAAATCGAAATGCGATTTTGCGCAGATCGCTTTCCACATGTGTTTGATTGCATTGCGAGGCCAGCGACGCAGGCTCGGGTTTGCTCAATGAAGTGCGCACTTGAGAATTATTGGCGCGCGCGGATCAGCCTTGCTTGTGGTTTTCGTGTGGCGTTGTCGCGCGTTTAAAGCCACGCGTCGTCGGTGCATCAGTGCAGCGCCTGTGTTCAAGCGCGGTGCGAGTCTCAAACCTTCGGCTTACGCAGGAATCTCAGTGAGGGGCACCAAACTCACGATGCTGCCCCAGAATATGTTAACGCATGCGCACAATGTAGTGTGTGCGCACAATTGCATTGCCCCCTTCCTTTTTACGAAAGCGTTGTACTGTGACAGACATCGACGTGTGCGTCGAGCCGAGAGCATCGCTGAGGCTGAGGACATCGCTGAGGCCTGCGCTGAGGCCTGCGCTGAGGCCTGAGCTGCAGCTGAGACCATCGCTGAGGCCTGAGCTGCGGCTGAGGCCATCGCTGAGGCCTGCGCTGAGGCTGAGGACATCGCTGAGGCCTGCGCTGAGGCCTGAGCTGAGGCGGAGATCATTGGGCTGACGCCATCGAGCTGAAGCGATGGGACCTCGCGTCCAGAGAGATCTCGGAATGCAGAACTTCCGTTCCGGGTAGATGTCCCTCGACGACGACGTCGCGTTGCTGCGGCCCGATGTAGATTTCTTGCGGATGCAGATCCTGACCGGCGCTGACTGGGCTTTGTCGCAGCCATCGCTCACTGCTCTGGAAAGGTCTCCACATAATCCAGGCTGACCGGGGATCCTCAGCGGAGTAGCGCGCGTGCCAGGTCGTGCGGCGGTGTTTCGGTCGGCGCGTCGTCGCGGTCCGTTCTGGGAGACATCTCGCCAGCCGACTTGGAAGTGCCGGCTCGCACGCGTGCATGCCATCGGTTGGACTCGTGCCAAAGCAGGGTGTTTTGCACATTCCATACAGGGCATGCTACCCAG